CGGCTGGTGTCGCTGCCTCTGTCGCGTATTCGCGTGATCATGAAGAGCTCGCCGGAGGTCTCCAGCATCAACCAGGACGCGCTCTTCCTCACCGCCAAAGCCACGGTACCGCCTCCCTCTTCCCTCTCGGCCGACCCCGCTCCTTCCCCGCCGTGCTGGGCCTGTGCCTCCCTGAGGTACCGCTGTCCTCCGGGCTGGGCTCTCAGGTCGCTCCTCTCACCGCTGCAGGGGCACCCCGCCCGCAGCTGCGCTGCGTCTCTGCTCGGTGCCGACCTCGTCCCCAGCGAGCGGCTCTTGCCGCCCCTCTCTTCCCCTCCTGCCGGTGTCCGTCACTGGGCGGCCATGAAGCATCGTGCTTCAGGCTCACATCATGTAAAAGGGGGTTTGGGCATCTTCCCGTCCAGCTGAGCTCTCAGGGGCTGTGAGCAATGCAGGAGGTTCTTATTTCCGCCACTGCCGATTAGTATAAATTAGCCCTTGTGGAGATGATCCCCTTCTGCTTTCTGATCCCAAGTGTCTTTCCTGGGTTGTGGAAAGTGTTGAAGAGCAGCACAAATTAAGTTATGTACCAGAACCCAAATCATCACTCAGAGCTCCAAGGAGATGCACCTATATCCTGACCTTTAGCTCTTCTGAAATAAGCGGGTCCCTCCACAAAGTGTCCAGTATATGTACACTTAAGTATGGCATTACTGTCTTTAAACGGAGATTAAAGAAAACTGCCAACTAGATATGTGAATTCATAGTTTGACTGTACTTTTTTGGTTTATTTTTTTAGGAGCTTTTTGTTCAGTATTTGGCTACATACTCCTACAAACATGGCAGAGGCAAAGAGAAGAACGCTCTGACTTACAGTGACTTGTCTCATACTGCAGAAGAGTGTGAGACCTTTCAGTTCCTTGCAGGTATCTACAGTGTGATGGTAAATCCAGTATGCAATTTGGAAAATGAAATCTTGCTCTTATTGAATTATTCTGTGAGAGCACAATTCTCCTACTGGTCATTACTCTCCTGTATAACATTCAATTGGAACTCATAAACTACATCACTGAAAACATTTAGTTTTCTGATCTAGTTGAAGATGTCCCTGCTCATTGCAGGGGGGTTGGACTAGGTAATCTTTAAACGTCCCTTCCAACCCAAACTGTTCAATGATTCTGATTTCTTTGTGAATGTTTTTTTTTGTGATGCTTCAAAATTATATGAGGCTAATTAGTTCTCAGCATATTGCCTTAAGCCTTTCATAAATTCCAGCAACTCCATCTGAAAGCTTTCAGCCTATAAAACAAGATCGCTGCACAATTTTGTGTGAGAAGTTATGTGGCCTCAAAATTACACATTTAAATCTGTAAGTCTTGTTTTGCAAAGTGATTCATCATATGGTTCCTCTCTCTTTTTATATGTATTTGTACACACACATGTGCATGCACACACACTTTTTACTGATACCTGGTTTTTTGTTGTAACACCTAGCTATAGGATATAGGTTGAGAATAAGATATTCCTAGCCCAGTCTTTCTCTGGGTTCCCTGTGGATGTACTTTCGTGGATATACTGTTCTGACATAAATGGGATAGCTGTCTTGTCCAATCTGTCTAAGGCAGTTGAGTAATTGAGCGCTCTTATTTTACATCAAATGTATATGAGCAGATAGTAAAGCCAGTTGCCAGTAATCAGTCGTAAAATATATTCCGTACCTTTGGTTACTTGTACCATAAGTGGGTAATTCCCTCTTATTCTTACAGCTGTATAGGTCAGACTAACTTATCTGGTTATTCACTTAAATAAAAATGTTTTTAACAAAGCCTCTTTTCAACTTCATTTCATTAGTGGTATGGATGTAACAGTATTAATGAGGCAATGTAAGTATTCAAACTGGCTGTAAAAGAAACGATTCTACCTTCCAGATATCTTGCCAAAGAAGATCCTAGCTAGCAAATACCTAAAAATGCTTGAAAAAGAGAAGCGAGATGGAGAGATCGGGGAACATGAAGAGGATGAGGAGGAAGAGAATGAAGACGAAACTGTTGATGAAGATGTTGGATCTTAAGACCAACAGCAAATTCCTTCATAGTTGATCTATTTTCTGTTGTACAAAGGATGTTATTTTTGTGACTGAGAATCCAGATGCTGGATATATTTATATACTGAGCCATCTGCTTTTGCTTTGTTTAAGAAGTTTAGAAATTGAACTTTATACTTGTTGAAGAATAGAATTCTTCCCTCAGAAGCATGGCGGGGTAAGAAGAGCTAATGTAAATCTGACAGCAGAACTTGCTCAGATGATTTAAAATGACTTCTTCAGACAATCATTATCCAAATTTAAAATTTCTTACAGTCAGCTTTCAGTCCAAAAGCTCTTTCACCCTCTGACTAGAAGGCAGTCCTTCCTCAGTTTTTATTTCTTCTCAGAGTCGAAGATGATGTGAGGGGAGGTGTTTTACACAGTGTCTACTCTCCTCAGCCTTCTCTTCCCCAGGGAGCCGGTAACCGATCAAATTCTCATGCAGTTTTCTGGAACAGTGCCAGGGTGGCCCAAGCCCATTAGAAAAGTCTTCTGTAAAAACAGCTGCTTCTGTAGTGGAGCCTAAATAGCCATGTCGGCTCAGAAACAGGGCAGAGGATGAGATCCATTCCAAGAGCTAATGTGGTTCTGCAGCTGTGGTGGTAAAAAGTACGTGTGTTAGATAATGATGTAAATATGTACATCTAGAACTTTTTTCTCTAACAGACTCTACTTTTGCAGTTTGTCTGTGGTGGTCTATGAAAATGCACATTGAAGTCTGTTAAATATGGATTGTTGAGAATGAGCAACCCTTTCACCATTTGAGTGACAGAGCTGGATTTTTCGTTTGGTTTGATTTTGTTTTTACTAGAGAAATGGTAACTGTCCTGTGTAGAACTTTATATGCAACTTTTTAAAATAAAATGTTTTGTATGAAAAGTGACAATCGATGCAGAGACTTCATATAGTTCTTTCCAGCTTCCGTCCTGTACAAGCCTAGCATGCTCACTGTTCATCTTTCCAGGAAGAAAGGATTATACTAACAGCATAATGCTAACAGCTTCCCTCAGTTTGAAGGCACAAATACACTGAACTGCTCTTAAAACACAAGGCAGAAAGCTCTAGCAACTCCACAATCTGGCACACTCCTGATTTGTTCTAAGAAAGCAAAAATTAGGCAGGTAAGATCATAGACTGCCAGAGGAGTAAAGCTACTGAGCCACATAAATGCTTTGCTTTTTTTAAAAGATCACAGTATGTTGTACTATGAAAAATTTTCCCAAAGTTACCATAAATCAAAATCGTATCGTATCAGGAAAGCTGCAGTGACTGCTAAGTGATGCTTGATCCCTAGAGAAGTTCCCAAGTGGGTATGCAGAACTGTACTATTATTGAAAGGGCTGGTTTGCCTTTTTTAAAAAATATTATTATTAGACGTGTGTAGAGATCTTGTGGGAAACTGAGGGCTTAATGCTGTCTGTTTGGGGGGTGGGGGTGCCTGCGGTAGGATATGTAAATTGTGTAGCATTGCTCAACACTTGGTGGGTCTAGTACTTGCCAGCTTTTGCGGGAAAAAAAAGCTACTTGTACTCTAGCACAAAACTGCGTGGTAATTATGCAGCGTAAACAGGGTAGAGGGCAACAAGATAAATCAAATCATTGTGGCCCATAAACCACTGGCTACCACACTAGCTGTGTTGAAGAGCCACAAACAGCTTGATCCCAGAGCTGGCACCTCCGTTGTTTAACTCACTGGTACTATGGCTGAGGCCAAACAATACCTGACCCACTGTTATGTAGGTCACCACCCAAAAATGCAATGACCTCAAACAGCCCTGGCAAAGAGGTCTTTGTGCTGGGCACATGTATCTATCTTCATCAATGACAATAGACAGTGGGATCGAGTGCACCCTCAGCAAGTTTGCAGACACCACCAAGCTGACTGATGCGGTTGAGATGCCTGAGGGACAGGATGCCATCCAGAGGGACCTGGACAAGCTTGGAGTGGGCCCGTGTGAACCTCATGAGGTTCAACAAGGCCAAGTGCAGGGTCCTGCACCTGAGTTGGGGCAACCCCCAGTATCAGTACGGGCTGGGGGCTGAAGGGATGGAGAGCAGCCCTGCCGAGAAGGACTTGGGGTACTGGGGGTGAAGAGCTGGACATGAGCCGGCAATGTGCGCTCACAGCCCAGAAGGCCAACCGTGTCCTGGGCTGCATCCAAAGCAGCGTGGCCAGCAGGGCGAGGGAGGGGATTCTGACCCTCTGCCCCGCTCTGGGGAGTCCCCCCCTGCAGTGCTGCATCCAGCTCTGGAGCCCTCAGCACAGGAGAGACATGGACCTGTTGGAGCGGGTCCAGAGGAGGCCACAAAGATGATCAGAGGCATTACACCTCTCGTCTCCTATAAGGACAGGCTGAGAGAGTTGGGGTTCTTCAGCCTGGAGAAAAGATGGCTCCGAGGAGACCTTCTTGCATCCTTCTAGTACTTAAAGGGGGCCTACAGGAAAGGTGGGGACAGACTCTTTAGCAGGGCCTATTGCAATAGGGCAAGGGCTAATGGTTTTAAAATAAAAGAGAGGGGATTTAGACTAAATCTAAGGAGAACTTGTTCACAGTGAGGGTGGTGAAACCCTGTCCCAGGTTGCCCAGAGAGGTGGTAAGATGCCCCATCCCTGGAAACATACCAGGTCAGGTTGGACGGGGCTCTGAGCAACCTGATCTAGTTGAAGATGTCTCTGCCCACTGCAGGGGGGTTGGACTAGATGGCCTTTAAAGGTCCCTTCCAATCCAAAGTTTTCTGTGATTCTATGGTTTTGCGGTAAAGACATCAGGGCTGGCAAGTTTTAGGGCACACATGTTTATAGAAATTACAGTTCTGATTAGTTTTAGACTCAGTGTTTTCCACTGCCAATTCTGTTTGTGTAGCCAACCCAATTGTCCATTATGCAGAACCATCTGTAAAGGGTTTTTTTAAGCCAGTCCTGGAGCCAGGTGTATGTTATGAAGCACAATATTGATAAAAGGTGCCAAAATAGCCACCAGCCCCAAGTAAGTATCTCCCACCATTCATGATCTGCAGGGGGTGATCATTCCTGATTTTTGTCACTTTGCTTCAGCTGCTGCTCAGCTTGTCAACAGATTGTTACCACCGATGTTTGGAAAGTAACACAGGAGCTCTGCATTTAGACACCCTAAAAAAAGAAGGAAAAAAATCCCCAACACGTTCATCAGTTACTGCTCTACAGACTAGTACCTCATAAGCCTGGGAAGGAGAGTGTCCCACCATGATCAGCCAATGTGTCCAGGACAAAAGCTGACACCATCATCCAGTACACGTGTGCCTGTGCTGACACAACTGGAAGCACTGGTGTTCTCAACTGAAAATATTTTTACTAGGACATGACAGATCATGGCCAGTTCTGCGAAGGTCAGCTGAAGGGGGAAATTCTGCTGCTGTGGAAAAGGCCAATGCAGTGCTTGACCACATCATCCACGTACCTGGGCTGTGTTCACAACTGGCAGAGGTGTCCCCAGCCACGAGTAGCCCAGACCAGCAGGCTGCCTTGCTTCGTTGTCCTGCAACACATCCTCGTGCACAGCAGACGGGAATGCGTCCTTTCTGTCTTGAACCTGTAACGCGAGCAGTGGCTACACAGCCTGCACGGAACCGGCCTGGCTGAGAAGACACCTGGTGTGAACCATGTCCTTGTGTTGGCCCTGGCAGTCGCTTTCTCCCTGTAGCCAGGCTGGAAAATGCTGCGGTGTGCACCTGAGGAGTGGGAGCAAGCACAGATGAGTTATGAGGTCCTTGCTCTACACAAGCGTTGTCTTTGCATGTCAGACAAAAGATGCGATTAGGAGGGAAAGCACAAGAAAGAGAAATCCAGCTGGAGGGTGGAGGAGCCATGCTCTTTAAGGAAGGATGCCCTCAAAGAAAACCAGAAGGATGACTCACTCCTGCGAGTGTTTCTCCTCATTGCACCCCGATGACTCTTGTTTCTGCAGCGTCTGCCCTGGTCTCCCTCTACACACCCCTGATGGTGCTTTATTTCCTCTCTGCTTCCCCCGCCTG